CCCCAAAACCCCAAAACCCCATATCAATGAATATTTGTGGAAATCACTAATAGCCCATAGAAATTAATTATACTACTTAATTTAATATTTTATCGAATCATCTGTAAATGCTACAAAAAAGAAAAGCGGGAGAAGAATCGGTGCTGGAGGAATTGAAACCAATGAAAATGCAAAAGGTTTCTTCTTAATAAGCTATTGATACTAACATTCAAGCTAAAAAATGGTGGGAAAGAGAAGCTGAAGTACAGCAAGATCATGAGAAGGGGAAGAATAAATGGAAAGCTCTTGAACATCACGGAGTTACCTTCTTCCCAGCTTATTAACCTCATGGAGTTAAAGTCATACACAAGGTAGATCAAATTGAAATAATCAATATAGGGCAAACCAATGGATCTAACTCCAGAGCAAGAGGAAATTTGCAATTGGTGGGCATAGATAGTGGATTAAGATTTTTCTAAAAAGCCATTAGTCAGGAAAAACTTTGAGAAATCTTTTATAGAGTTATTTGATCAAGTAAGAGAATTTTGGTTTATCAATTTTAGGAATAAAATGTATAATCACTTGATGATTTCGATTTTACTCCAATTATAAAGTATCTCTCAGATTACAAAGAAATCAGGAAAAATAGATCAACATAAGAAAAAAAGAAGGAAATAGAAGAGAAGCAAAAGCAAGACTTAATTTATAAATACTGCCTAATTGATGGGGAGCTTGAGAAAATATCAAATATTATTGTAGAACCACCAGGCATATTTAGAGGAAGAGGAGAACATCCATTAGCTGGGAAACTCAAATCTAGAATCATGCCAGAACATGTGACAGTAAATGTAGGTCCGGAGGATCCAATTCCTGCTTGCCCACTTGGCGGGCATTCTTGGAAAAGAATTATATCAAACCCAGAAGCTACATGGCTATGTCATTTCAAGGATGAGAGACTAGAAAAGAGTAATAATGGAAAGTATGTTCAGCTTGCAGCTGATTCAAGAATCAAAGGAGAGAATGATAGAAAGAAGTATGAAAAAGCCAGAAGACTGAAGAAAAATATTGATTCAATCAAGCGAAATTACTAGGAGAAAATGAGGTCTCAAGATGTAGTTGATCAGTAATTAGGAGTCTGCACATATCTCATTGATAAACTAGCTCTGAGAGTAGGAAATGAGAAAGGTGAAGATGAGGCAGATACAGTTGGCTGCTGCTCTTTGAAAGTAAAGAATATTCAAATAGAAGAAAATAATCAAATTACTTTGGATTTCTTGGGAAAAGATTCAATCAGATATTTAAATACAGTGGAAGTAGAAGCTAAGGTGCATTAAAATTTGAAATCATTTGTTTAAGGAAAGAACCCTGACGATGAACTATTTGACAGAATTAATGCTTCCAAGTTGAATGATTATCTTAAGGAGATGATGGATGACTTAAGTGCTAAAGTATTTCGTACTTACAATGCATCAGTCACACTATAAAACCAATTTTAGGAAAAAGATAACAAGATATCAGAAATTGATACTATTGAAAAGAAAGTCCAATTTTATGAAGAGTGCAATAGAGAGGTAGCCCGTTTATGCAACCATTAAAAAGAAGCCAACAAAAACCATGATGAACAATTGTTGAAAATGAAGCAAGTATAGACTGAGAAGCAAGAGAAGGTGACTTAACTTGAATAAGAATTAGCAAAATTGAAGAAAGGTAAAAGCTCTAATGATCCTAAGCTTCCAAAGACTGTTGATCTATGCCTAACTGCACTTGAGAAAGCAAGAGCTCAGCTAGAACTACAAGAAATGAGGGTTAAAAAGAAGGATGAAAATAAGAATCTGGCACTAGGTACTTCAAAGATTAACTATATGGATCCAAGAATTTCAATTAGTTGGTGTAAGCAAAAAGAAGTTCCAATTGAGAAAATATTCCAACCAACTTTAATGAACAAGTTTACTTGGGCTATGAATATTGAGCCTGATTACGAATTCTGACTTTCTATATTTTATTAAAAATTCAATTCTTATTGATTTTTACATAAATGTTTAGTGGGGTTTTGGGGTTTTGGGG